GTTACTTATTGTCCACTTCATGAAAGACTTTTGCATAATTTTTCATAACTAATGCTTCTTCTGCTGAGTCAAGAAAAAAGATCGCAACTGCGAAACGATCTTACAATGGCTCGCCCTTTAATGTCTCTAATTTTATTAGAGCAATTTGCAATATTAGCGGGGTGCGGTTCAGCGGTATACACCACAGCAGCTGCAGTTTTAAATATTTAGATATGTACATGTTTTTTTTTTAATATAAAATTTTTTTTTCTTCTATTTTTTATAAAAGCCAAACATAATCATAATTAATTGCAAAATGCAGCAAAACTGCATGTTGCTTGCTGCCAGCAGTCCACATGATCGGGGCGCATGTGAATGAATCATGCCCCACAGTTTAGGTGCTTCATGGTGCCAGTGCTGCCAGTGCTGCCAACTGCATTTTCATCTCCAACATTGCTGCAGATTATCTTCTAGGGATCGAATCGAATTAAAAAATAAAACTTTAGTGTAAATAAAATGTTACATGGAAGAACAAATACTTTTTTTTGTATTTTTAAATTTTGAATAGCAAAGTCAGCATAGTTCCAATTGCATTTCGTGGATAAACTTTAATTCATGTTGCTAATGCTGTTGTTGTTGTTGTTGTTGTTGTTGTTTTTGTTTTCGTTGTTGTTGTTGCAGTTGCTATAGTTCTTTACGTTTGCGATTGTGATTATAGTATAGTGATGAGCTGAGCATGTGATGGAGATGAATACAGTGATATATTTGAGACAAGTGGAGACTCTTAAAGTTAGTCACAATCCGTACGCGTTTAGAAGCGGTTTGCATTTAAATTGCATTTTTTCCACTAAGCGACGTTAGGTTTTTCGAAGTGGGAGTGAGTGCATTGTTTGTGTTTACATCACGTGTCGGAAAAACAACACATAAATTTCCATAAGTTCCTCTCAAATGTCAAGAACAAAATTTCAAATTTTAGGTATATAATCAAGTTCACTTACTATATATATAAAACATCTATCTAAATTATTTAAATATTGTATTGTATATATGCAGGTGTGATATTATATTCAAAGTAATCTGTTATAAAGATCAAAGATCTTTTGGTGTTCAAAAGACTAATAATTTAAGTAATAGTAAATTAATCTATTTAAATCTAATAAGGCGCAGTTAATTAACAAAGTCAATGAGCTCAACATTGATGCAATGTAATAGAAAATTCTATTAATTGAGAATATGGAAGATTTTTGCTATTGCAATGAGTACCTAATGTATTTCATAGTTCAGCATACTAGAGTTTTTCTATACATACGAGTATCTCAACTGTGCCCCCAAAACCGGAATTAACTTTTAATAAAGTGATTACCTGTAATTTATGAATAAACCAAATACATTGCATATAAACTATTGCAAATTGTTTGGTAATCATGTACGTGACCTGCCAATATGATATGCGATATATGAGTTTATATTACTCTTACTGACTTGATTTCAGTTACCGATATTCTTGCTCTTTAATATTTGTTACCATTGCGTACATCTTATCTCAGGCCGTATATAGTCTCTTAAATTATATTTTATTAGATTAGAAAATTATTTATAATGCATTTATAATTTACTGATAAGAATATATACTGATTAAAAATAAAAAAGAAATTCAAGGTCGAGAGATCGCGCAATGTTTACTTAACTTTTCAACTCTTTTAACCGCGTAAGAGAAATAATCTATTAGTAATTATAACAAAATGGTTTATATAACTATTTTTATATTGCATATACCTATAATTATATTATAATTAAATGTATAAATACTCTTACATACTATATATATTTTATTACTAAATTGTATATATAATTATTTTTTTATTAAATAAGTAATTATTATATTATTATATTAATTGTTAAATGTATTATATGTGATAGATATGTATATACATATATATATATATACTTTATATATACTTTTTATATACTTTATATATATATATATTTATTTATTTTATTTATATATTTATATATGGAATCTATATATACAGAAATCAATCTTTGAATAGAAACGGAGATAATAAAGAGGAAAGTTTGAAATATAAATATAAAATGCATTATATACATTATAAATATATTATATATATATACATATTTTTATGAATATATATAAATAAAATATAACTATACATAATATATATATACATTAATATATTAGTATATTATACATTATATTAGTATATATGTATATATAAATAAAATATAACTATACATAATATATATATACATTAATATATTAGTATATTATACATTATATTAGTATATATGTATATATTAGAGAAATTGTAACAAAATTATTAATATATTATTTTATGTTAATTGTTGTGCGTATATAAGATTTTTATTTCATTATTTTAATTTTATTGTTTTTTATTTATTTCATTTTATTTATTTTATTTTATTTTATTTCATATCATATTATTTTATTTTATTTTATTTTATTTTGATTATTTTTTATTATTTTGATTTTTTTTTTATTTTATTTTATTCTACACGGTTTTATTTTATTTTTTTTTTGTTGTTATTATATTGAAATATATTTTACTGTAGTTATTGATGTTTTATATTTCAAGAATGTTAATTTATTGTTGTTAATGTAACATTAATTACCATTAGTAATGGTAATTAATGTTATATTTTCATATAATATAAATAATTTTTTAAATTATTTACGTCCATTTATTAATATTTATTTATCTTGTTTTGTTTAATTTTAATTTGCTTTTATAACAATTCATATTAGTGTTATTATTATGTATATTATTTGTCATTTTATATTAATATTTAAATTATTTTATATTATTCAAGTATTTATTCAAGTATTTTAGTATAATTACAAATTTTAGAAATATAATATGCATCATTAAATATCATTAGATATTATGTATTAAACAATATATACGTCATTACATATTTAAATTAGATTCGATTTAAATTTATTTATTTTTTTTAATATTAATTCAATTGAAATAATTTTTTTCTCGTAATATATTTCTTTATAATAATTGTAATTATATTTGTCATTATTCTATCATATATTGCATTTACAATTTCATTTAAAATTTATTGTCTAAAATTTATTATAACTAGTATAATTAGTAATTAGTATCTAATTTAATTATATAAAAAATAATAAAATTAAAATGCAATATCAAAATTGCAAAGCATAATATTTATAATACATTATATAATTAATTATATAATTAATAAAATTATATAAATAATAATTAATAAAATAATAATAATATAATAATTAATAAATTATATAATTAATAATTGATATGATAATATGTATATTGAAAACGTATGATTATACTAGTTATAATAAATATATATATATATATATATATATATATATATTTGATGAACCTTTAACCAACAGTAGGTATCTGAAGCACCTTAGTTACAAAATAAAATATATATAATGAAGCATAGATATAAATAAATATATATATATAATATATATATATATATATATATATATATATATATATATATATTACTTCAGATCATTGTGTGATCCACTGTTATTTGTTTTCCATTCATATAAGATATTGACTCTAATTTAAATACTATATCACTTGAATACTTCTATAAATTCAAGTAAGTAAGTATATTATTGTATATTAAGTAAGTCTTGCAATAATTACTTAATTATGTTGAAGCTGTTTTGAGGCAGTGCACTTAAGCACTTTTACTCTTTCTTAACTCGAGGTATTTTCAAAACCCCTCTTTACACCTTGACTAGATTATTTAATTAAAAAGTATGAATTTCGGTGTTAGCTTGAAAATCTACACAGTTCTGTCTCTGAAGTTTTTTCATTCTGTCTCTTATGTATTTTTCAATATTTTTGATTCTTAGGTTTTTATTTCTAACCTTTATTATCTTGATTGCTAACATATTATGGCGCTACTAAAAAATATCTCAAAGTAATATTCTATAAAGTTTGAAGGTTTTTAGTAATAGATGAGGCAGTCATAGATATATTTGGGTCTAATCATTTTGCATTCATCATTTAATAATTTGACAGCAATCGAATTTGTATTGACAACCAGTGATCTGACCCTTACATTCTCAAGGCAAATGAATCATTAGTTAAAAGTTAGACCTATATACCTTACATGCTTTTTTCATTCAATTTGAAAATGATTGACTTTTATATCTGTTGGACTATAATTTCTTTGAATTCTAATAAAAATAGCCCTCGTTTTTTAAGTGTTTATTGTAATTCCCTACTTTTTGGAGGGGTCTCAATATGATCATTATTATCTTCTCAGTATGAACTTGAAAATTTTTCTACCAGCAATTGGTCGGCTTATATCATATAAATATAGCAAATACAGAAAATTCAAGTGAATAACATAATATGGCACTTTCATAGAAATCTGTATCGTTCTTTGCGCTTATTTTTGGGTTCATGAAATTGGTAACCCTAAATATCAGTGATTCAAGGTGCGATAAGGTTAACATTAAAACCAGAAAGACTTGTGTTTATAAGGTAGTCAAAATAAATGTATAAATCAGTGGATCGAATGGAAACTAAACCTAAAATGACAAACAAAAACCTTATCTTTACCAGAACGACAATTGGAACTGTTTATTTCGACTCAGGAGCTAACAGCTTGAGTTCGTTTTATTTCTAAAAATAGGATAATCGTACAAGAAAACTCTATCATGTACTTTTGCCCAATTATTTGGTGTTGTTATAAATAATGTTGATACAAAATTGGCACCAGAACTTAATTAATGATGCACTTCTGCAGTTTAAGAACTAAAGTTCTTATAGTTTCGGAGAAGCATAAGGGTTAAACAGTCTTGCTGAATCTAATTTGTTGTCAACAGTTTGAGACATATTTTGCATTATCTTTACATATTACTATTCAATAAATAAATAATTATTTGATTACCTTATTTACTTAAACACATTTTGAAATATATATTATTTCCTCTTTAATAATATTTCTTTATTTACCAACAGACGCAATATATTTGTCAAATTCACGTCAAATATTGGAGCCCATTATGGAAGAAACATCCGAAGATGAGGAGAGAGCACAAAATAGTTGGACTCAATATGAACAATCGAATCATTTTTGGAGTTCAGCCGAATCGGAGACAGGCTCAGTTATAAGAATCGAATTAAACAAAGGTAAATATAAGATACAGTTTAATATTAAAAATGTTCCACCTGATGTAACAAAAATATTCAATTTCAGATCCCGATTCGATATCCGAGCGTGATTTTGTATGTCCACCAAAGAGACCACGTCATTGTGAAGAAGTACAGTCACAACAGTTACCAAATAGCCTTGATGACACTGTAATCTTACGTCGCTACCAACGCAATGCTGGCCTAAGTAATGAATACAATGAGACAAATAACAGTTTGGAACGTTTCTTAACATATGAAAATTCGATGCGAGATAGTTTTGGTGCTAATAATCAACCACAACGTAATAGTACGGGCAGTAGACGTTTCGATGATTTTTATTCAGATTCCGATAGCTTATCCTACCATTCACTAAGTCGTTCATCATCCCTCATACAATTTGAGTCGTTGGAACGGCAATTATTGCTACAAGAGCAACATGCCAGCATGTCTAGCTTAGGCAATTCCTCACCTTCGCTACTAAGTTTCGATGGTGCTAATGTTACAAATAATGAAGATAGTAAAACTGGTGCTAGCAGTGGCTGCAATTCTGGCAGCAATAGTCGCAGAGGTTCGCAAAGTTCATTGCTCAAACGTTTCGAATCGTCCGATGGTCGTTTACATCAGACCTATTTTGATTTAGACAAACTAAATTTCGATGAAGATGAGCATGTGCTATTCCGTGGTGCCAGTAAAACAAATATAATCGAGGCCACTATTGGAGAGATAAAGTCTGATTCAGAATCATCGACCAGCTCAACGCGTAGTTCTTCTGGAAACAGTATTTTAACAGCATCGAAACCTTCTGCAGAGGATTTAACCGACTCTAGTTGTGCTATTAGTACAAAAATAGCGCGCATAACTGCATTTCAACGTGGTGGCAAGAATTCGGCTGAAAATTTATCAGAAGATTCTGGTTACTGCGAGCCATCCACTTTAAGACGCGCTAAATCAAAAAGCATACCGAAAAATTTCGAAAAGTTCTGTGAAGAAGAAGAAGAATTTCAACAACAATACGAATATAAAGAGCGCGATGATATTGCACAACAAAAACATTCCATAAACTATAACACAGTGAACTGTTACGGGAGCACCGCTGCAAATGTTGAGCATAATGAACTTATATGTCAGCCAAAAATAAACGATACCACATTCCTCGTGGAGTCAACTGAATTAACGTTTAACGAACCAAAAACAACAGCATCGTTGCCAGCAACAGCAACAGCATCAGCATCAGCAACAGCAGCATTGCAGCAACACACACAACAACATAGATTATTGCCATTAGACTTGTGCCAGTGTTTTAATAATACTAAAAATAGCCCAACGCGAGAGATTATCGAGCATAGACGTTCATTAGCGCATTCACCATCTCCTGTGTCGTCTGAAGCATCAGGCAGTAGCAGCAGCAGCGCCAATAGCCGCTCAACGAGATCATCCTCTTCATCGGCCTCGACATGCGCTTCAGCTGCTTCATTTACATGGCTACCAATACAAGATCAGCAACAGCAGCATGAAAAACATGCACAACGAGCGGAAAAACAATCTAACGCTCAGCCAAAACAAACTTTTGAGGGACTCCGCCCGACACTACGAAACAGTTTGCCAGACATTCGCGACGCGTTAAGTTCGGAAGTATATTTTTCTTATAGCCAACAACCACCAGCATCTGTACTATTGAATAATAGAAGTAGCTACTTGCTGGAGTACTCAAGTCCAATTATAACAACACCAACTACACCGACGACACCAACAGCGCAAACAATACAAACAGTAACGACGGCGACACACAATACAAACACATTAGACGATTCAGATATATCGACATCATCCGTTTCATCGGCGCATGAACACGATAGTCGCAGCGACGAAACGGACGCCGAAACCACACCAGAAATCAGAAAACGTAGCGTGGGCGTTGGCAATATTGCTAGCAACAGGGTTGGCGGTGGTGGTGGTGGTGGAGGAGGTATTGGTCAGTATAACGGCACACGCATACGAATTTCAAGTGTACCCAACGAACTCGATAAATTAGGACGCAAGAAACGTAGTATTAGCAAAGCGAAATACAATAAAACTCCAACGGAGGAGTGCTGCAGAAGTACAAGTGATAGTTCAAGTATCGAGGAAGAGGAACCCAACTGTGTAAGAATTACACGTAGTTCTAGTTTGTCTGAACGTCGAGAACGCAATTTCCCAAAGTTTGAAGCGAATCAATATCCCGATATTGTTAACGGCACATCACCCCATTCGCAACGCTTGCCCGATTATATGAATGCAAGTTATCAAGATCTGACGTTACTGGACTACACAGGTCGAAAGCCAAATAGCACAAATAAAGAAAACATAGGAAATCAAAAACGCGCGGGTGTCACAAACATGGAGAAACGTAAAAGTGCAGGTGACTATGAACACATCATTTGTAAAGGTAACTTTCTGCTAGATGAGTTGTCTGAGATATTTGATAAAAATGCCTCCATACTCAACGATAAGCATATTGATGAAATCGAGGAAACACACAATTTTCTACAGAATGAAAAGGAAGCAGCATTGCATTGTAGTCCAAAACCACCACCCAGACAGGCTAAGCATGTAAATTCTAAACTTTATGACAGTCCCGACGAAGAGATTAGGCAACAGCACAATTCTACAAATGCAAGTTACTTCGATGCTAATGACCAACCGGATGCACAACTGGTACAACACGTGCAACTAACGATACGTAAGCCGCCAGCACGTCACAAGAATAATCGCAAGTCTGATGCTACAAACAGCTTAGTTGACGATAGTCAACAAGTGCCACAATACACATTCAGCAGTTTTGGTAAGACCTTTGACCAGGATCCCACAAATCTACGCACAAGTTACGCACAGAGTTTGGAAAAGTGCAACTTCGATCCGAAAGAAGTTTCCAACACTGATCTTTCAAAAGTGCGTGCCATACCCAAACGTCGCTTCCAGTCACAAGCCGCAGCAAACAAAAAGAGGAATTTAGTTTCGAGCACACCAAACCTAAACGCTTTTGATCCAGGGGCCGATGACATTGAAGATGATATGTTTGTTTCTAGCGCACATACTTCAATGCATCAATTACCACAATCCCATCAACAAAAACCTCTGGGCATACTTCTAACGGCCGGTTCACGCACTTCCTTTGGCAAAGAGGTCAGCTTTTGTCCAGTCGTTTCAAAATATTCATGGCAAGAGCAATCATCCGAAGAGTGCAATGAACCACAATTGCACCGCCAAGATGGTCAGGAAGAAGATGAAACTGACGATGAGCTATTGGATAATGCGGATGCCACAGTTATTTATAACACAAAAGAGAACCAAAAAATCGCTACACGGTATTATGAAGAACAAGCAACCGAAAAGAGCACAGCACAAATAAGAGAACAACCTAATGTTGAACTGCTAAGAGCCACAATCATTAATACGGAAGAGCAAACGAAGAGAAGCGAACCAAACAATTTAGAAGAGCAAATAACATCGCAAATGGAAGAGAAAAACATCGCAGAAACAACGAAACTCGTTTCAAGCGAACAAGCAACAATGAAAACAATGCACGATAATAACATTGTATCGCCGACAGCAACGACGTTGGTCAATTCGCTTGAAACAGCCACAACTGAAGTTAGTCTCAAACCAACAACGATCGTAGTTGGAACAGTGAACGGTTGTAGTGTCAGTAGAAAAGTTGAAGTTCCGAACGAGTCCCCTACAAATATTGCAAATAATGAAAAACAATCGTCGCGTCCACTTAGTATACAATTACCGATTTTAAGTGAACCGCCCACAAATCGAGCCCATCACATTTTATATGCATCCCAGCAAATGCTGGACAATTTCCAAAGACGCGAACGTGAAGAATACAGTGAAAGTGAAGATAATAGTGTTCTGAATCGTGGTAGTGCCGTTGCTCGTGATACATCGGCCATTAATATTTCCGATAGAAAATCCAAAAGTGTTAGCAATTTACATTTCGGTCAAAATAATCGCAAAAACATGTCGAAAAAAATCGGCAACGGCAGTGACGAGCACGCAACTGCCAGCAGCAACAATGGCACACAAACCATCAAACCGATCAACAATAATAACGAATTGATGAAATCCAAATTCAAAGCCGATGAGAAGCACCCAAATTCCAAAGGTTTTCTATCGCGTTTCGCGAATGGCTTTCGCTTCTCCCTGCGCCGCAATAAGAAGAAGCAATTGCAATATCAAAAGGAGTTGCAGCAACAACAACTACAGTACGACCAACAGGCAAGTGCTGAACATAATGGAAACACCGCAAAAGGTGCACCACAGGTAACATCGAAGAGCACAACCACTGCCTCGAATAGAACCAGCACACCAACAAAAGCCGGCAAATCGAGCGTAAACTCAAATGCGAGTTCAAATGCGAATGTGACTGCAAACACAAGTGATTTCATTTTCATCCCTTTGAAAGGTCCTTTACCTGCAGCACGTGCTACAGCATTAGATGACAGCGGCAACACTGTGCCATATAATAATAATGACCACAATGCCACTGCTTCTACAACAACCACATGGGAAGACTCGAATGCCAGCACAGCCAGTGCACAAAGTGTAAATACAAAAATTGGCGCCAAATCGGGTGTGAATCAAATGCCGCAATCGTCCACAATGAAAGTAACCGGCAAGCCGCCGTTACCAAAACACACACTGGCAGCAGCAACGGCAGCACGTTCCAATGCAGTCACAACCCATCTAGCCCAAAATGGCAATAGTGGTATGATTGGTAATGGTGTTGATATTGGCATACAGGGCGCAGGTCCACATGCGCAGCACCAGCAACAAACCAATTACAATCTTACATCAATGGAAGCTAACGCAAAGGCACTAGCACAAGCAGAGACACAGTCACAGTCACAGTCGCAATCACAGCAGCTGCAGCCACAGCCACAGCTGACAGAACGGTCAGGACAGCTCTGTCAAGATTTTCTTGAAGCCGAATGCTCTTACTACTACGACGATTTTAAGAATCAGTTAAATTCGGGCATGCAAGCTAGCGGTTGTGCCGGAACGGCTCTGGTGCCGGAATTTACATCGCCTTCGCGTGCAAGTGTCTCGCAGAAAACGCAAATGTTTAATAATATGTCTAGTAGGGGCGGTGGCGGTGGCGGCGACGGCGGCATTGGTGTCGGTCGTTACGTTATTAATAATAGTGCCGCTAATCAGTATCAACAACAACAACCACAACCGCAACAATCGCAGCAATCTAAACAATTCAATCAGAGCAACAATTGTAAAATCGGTTTAATTGAAACAAATCTCGATACGCATGAAACGATTATAACGGGTAAAACGCGTTCGTTAATGGATATTGGACCACAGCAGATGGGTGCTACGTCCACGGGTTTTAAATACGGTAAACGCCTCAATGCTAAGACGGCGCTTGTCGGTCATGTTAATAATTTCGATAATGTTTTGCGCGATGATGAGGATAACGATGATGATGATGATGACGATGATGTTTATATAGAAACGAGTGGCTTAGGCGCGGATGGTAGCGGAATGGTTATCAAATCCATAACACCGACTGGCGGTCAAATCGCCTCCGTTCGTAGACCACACAAGAGTATGGAATTCTTATTGGATAAAGAAAACCAGAAAAATGTTTTGGTAAGTCGTCAAAATTTATTTACACAACTTTTATGGCTTGGAAATGCAAATATATGGTATATGCATTTTTTCTCGACACCTCTAATGAGTGCCAAGTGCTTCAGACTTACGATTCCAGTAGGTGAATTGGTAAGGTAGTACGCATAGTATATGTGCGCCGTGTAGTAAGATTTATATAGTGTTGTACTTTTGGCAAATACTCATAATACGAGTACGAGTGCGAGTAAAAAGAGGGATGGTTGGATGATTAGAGAAGAGTTTAAGGAAGGGGTTGTCTTAGCTATTATGCTGGCAGCATGCTTGGCATGTGCTGGTGCTACTGATAATGTTGATGGGTGGCAAGTTTGAAATTGAAATTGATTCACTGTTTTCTGTGTTCAGTGTTCGGGTAGTATACATAATAGGGTGTTTCCCTTGCCTTCGCGTATACACTGACTTCTAACAATGGACTTAAATTTGTGAAAAACATTTCATAGCAAATTGATAACAAAAACAAAGTTATATATACTATTGTAAAGCAAATATAAAAATAAAATAAAAAATTATTTTAATATTAAAAAGAAACTTGAAAAAATTGGGAAAGTTGGGAAAGTTATTTGTTAAAGGATAGTAGTGTGTGTTTGCATTCAATCAGTAGTTCTTCCATTGCTTCATTGAAATTCCAAATTCCTGGTACGTGGTAGGATTTAGTAAGAGTTAGGATTGAGAAATGTTTTCTTTAGACTTTTTGAGGTAAAAAAATGTTTAAATATATTAAACAATATAAAGCTAAAAGTGATTAATAATATAAAAATGATTACGAATTAGACATTTAAGACCACGCAAATATATAGTTCGATTTAAAATAGATTAGTTACTAATAATAATTTAGAGCATCATTATAAAAAGTTGTCTCGGATGGAACGATTTTTAAACTTTAATATTTAAAAGTACATCTCTAAGCTTCCTTTTTTAAGGTTAAATAAAATATATCCTTAAATAAAATTATTTATATATAAATAAAATATAAAAAAAATCTATAAATATCTCTGGCTATGGTGAAACTGCCTCTCTTTCTTTGAAAGACTTTATCCCATTTAATATGTATATATATATTTCAGTTCGAATATACTTTTTTTATTTTATATATATACAATATAATGTATATATTAATTTGTTTAAAGCACTTTACAATATTGGTTATTTTCTCTACTGACATACTCTTACATTAAGACTGAAAAGTTTTCGGAAATTCTCATTTAAAATTCGCGCGCTGTATATTTTTCGATATTTTAAGTTTATGTAGTTTGGCAGCACTGTCCTTAATTTCTATGCCAAAAATGAGCGCGATCTGTCAGACAGTTCGTTTACGGCAGCTGTTGAAACCAGTTCACCTCAGTAGTGCGTTGCGAAATGTCTTCGACGGTCTTACGACCGTCCTGAAAGGCTTTGTACCACTCATAAACTTGAGTTTTCGATAAAACTGATTCCCCATAAGCCTTTTGTAGCATTCGCAACGATTCTGCACACGAAATTCGTTCGAAACACAAAATTTGATGCAAACTCTTTGTTCAATATTTTTTTCCATTGTTTTTTTCGCAACGCACTACTGAGGTGAACTGGTTTCAACAGCTGCCGAAAACGAACTGTCTGACAGATCGCGCTCATTTTTGGCATAGTAATTAAGGACATTGCTGCCAAACTACATAAACTTAAAATATCGAAAAATATACAGCGCGCGAATTTTAAATGAGAATTTCCGAAAACTTTTCGGTCTTAATGTATGAAGAAGTGCACATTTACTTCTTCTTTAATAATTCTTATTACTTCTTTAATAGTATCTATATAATAAAAGTTAAATCGTTGGGCTTCCTTAGTTATTTAGTTGGCCATTATAGATGTGAGTCATCCTTAGCTGCGTCTAGTAGCTGCCACCAGTCAACCCGATTAGTAGCTTACTGTCACTAGTTGGAGGTATCATGTGCCGGAGTACTTTCTTCCATTCGCATGATATAATCAAGTCAGCTAAGATGCTGATTTTTTATGCGCCCAACTATGTCAATGTTGCAATATAACTCATACCACTCCCATAGATCTTCCTCAGACTTTTTCTCTCGAATAATTTAAACGTCTTTTAAATCATTGGGCTCTATTCGATAAAAACGTATGGCTCGTGTTAATAGTTTTTTTACAATCTTAGAGAATAGATTATAGTTATAATGAAACAATTAATAAGGTATTCCTTATAAGACATTAACAAACTTTTTTATGCCAAGATAATTAAAGTTTTCAGTACCTTCATATAGTCTTAATAAAATCACATATGGCCTTAAATATCTTTTACCAAGATATATTGCTTAGTTAAGCAATAGCTTCAATTTGTACGGATTAACTTAAAAGCTCTCTCCAGCGACAGCAGTACAGCTATAAGAAATTGCGTTGTACTATTATCTATTATACAGTCAACAGTCTATACAGTCTATATACAGTCAAACTTCCATAACTCGAAGCACCATTTTGCAAAGAAATGGTTCGACTTTAGGAGACTTCGAGTTAGTGAATTTTTTATTTTTTTTTTATTTTTGAAAGAAACTAGAATTACATTTTAAGACATTTGCTTATATGTTTGCAACCAAATACAGCACAAAAGTTATAGTGAAGTAAAGTATTCGGAAATTAGGATTTCTTATTTTCAGAAAAAAGAGATTCGAATTTATTCAAAGCCTAATAGTGATCATTAGTTGTAGTATCATTCGTTTGCAAATAAAAATTTAGAATTTCGAATGAATCTTCATTCTTGAAAGGCTGATAAACAATTTCATTCATCGAACCCTCATCATCACTTTCCGTTACACTTAGAATCGGATACACTATAATGAGATATATACAGAGCTATAATGCTTAATAATATCGTCATCTGTAGGAAAGCTTGATGTACAAATTTCATTATCAAGTCCAATATAATATAATGATTTAGAGTAGCATTGAAAGTTATATTATTTACTTTACATTTATTTCACTTTTACATTAATTCAAAGTCTTCATCAATGTTATTCAAAATTAAAGGAATATCGTCCTGTTCGTCTCATGTAGAAAATTGATCCATCCCAGCCAACATAAGAAGGAAAAAATCGGAACATTTGGTTTGGGAAAAGGGGCTTCTCCTAATACCAAAATGGATTGATACTTAAAACAAAAATTCGACTTATAGAATGCACTTTCCCATAAAACCCTGTTACCTTATTCGACCTTTTTAGTTCGAGTTATAGCAAATTTGAGTTATAGAAATTCGAGTTCTAGAAGTTTAATTGTAGTAGTTAATGTTATTCAGGTAAGAATTTACTTATTAACTTACTTCAATAGCAATAACAACCCGTTATTGGGTTTCGGCCTGATGCAGCACTCCTCCACTGAGTACGCTTCTTCTCCATTTTCGTACCTCAAGTGCATTTAGCATTTTTCAACTTGTTCACTTCTCCAAGGACACAGTCTAATTCTGCATTCTCTTCCTCTAACTACCAGTTCAAATACTTTTTTCACTGAAGCACTGTTATGCATTCTCACGACATGACCGAGTTAGCAAAGCTCGTACAGCTCGTGCTTTATTCACATGCGGCAGTCGTCTCCAACTTGTTGAGGGCGATGATTGAACGAAAAACTTTACTCTCAAAAACTCCCAGTGCTGCTTTAACATTTTGTGTTAACGTCCATGTTTCTACGTCATATAAAAGCATGTACAGGAAGGATGGGTGGCCTCTAGAGCATAAGTTTTGCCTGTCAACAGAGAGCTCAATTACCTATTGAGCCCATAGTCGCACCTATTGACAATAGTTATTCTTCGTTTGATCTTTAATCTTTAGTTGCCTGGTTAAAATCCTGTATGTGGTAATTATATGTCTATATAATCTATATATGTATATATATATATATATATTATATATATATTCTATAAACCGATTGTGATTTTCATTGCAGCTTATATTTTATTTTTATATTAAGATAACTAAAAATTTCACTTCATCTTTTAAAGACTTCAACACAATAATCTCATTAACAGTTTTCTCTTCAGAAGGAAACATTTGTTTTTTTTTAGTCGAAAAATAAGAATTTTCTTCCTTTTTGACTCACAAAATCTATAGAGAATGCAATTAGTGCTCATAAACTTTGAAATTAGTTGATTAATTTGGTTTTTGTTTGCAACAGCTGTTGTCTTCTCCTACACATTCACATGCTTTAACAGAAACAATAACATCAAGGCTCATACTTAACACTTACCTATTTGGCTTTTACATAATTAAACTGACTTTAATTTATTATCTTTCAGTTTTATTAATAAATTCCTACTTTCGTTATGATTTTGTCTTTTTTACAGTGCTCTTCCTATTGTTCCTATGGCATGGTGCATGGTGTAAAATTTAACACGCATCATACACACACACACACACCCACCCACACGCAACTTTGCCGCTATTGGAATTATGAAAAATTTCGCTTAACTTGTGTTTAACATAACAAAAGAGCCTTTCGACGCTTAAAGGCGTTGATATAAAAGCTAAATCAAAGTCAAATAAAGCAGCACAAATTCTGTTAAGTGTTAATGTAAGGATGTGTATGTTGATTTGTGTGTGTATGATTGTGTGAAACTGTTATGATAACCCAACAGTGATTTAACGAGTAATATGCACCATCACAGTTTCTCAAATTACAGCCACCCATTTTGGTACTTATTTGCTGTTGTCTACTTTTGTTCTTTTTTTTTTGTTTTTGTTTTTTTTTTATTTTTGTTTTATTTTTTTGGTAGAATTTTGCGGTTGCCTGAAAACGTTTAAGTTTTATTGATTTTAAATTGAGTTTGAAGCACGTCGTTGTTGTTGTTGTTGTGCTTTGCATCGCTGTTAAGTGTTTGCAAAATTTCGGACAGGATCTGTCATGTGGAAATGGGTTGAAAGTTGTGGTAGGTTAAAAAGGATACTGAGTACCGAGTAAATTTTCATTTAAATTTAAATGCTTAAATTCCGTGT